CAAGGGGAACCCCCCGTTTCCGGCAGACGCAATAATGGGAAGGGGGGGGGAAACACCCTTTCCGTTTTTTTGGACCCCCCCCCCCTGAGAGCCTGGTCCGGTGAGAAATCGGCGTGCTCCGTCCCGGCTTTGTAGGGATGCGAGGTCAATGGTCTAACGACTACGGCATGCACGACTATGAGTACACCCCCCTCTGGGGGCAGCCACCCCCCTCTGCTGTAGCTCCCGCAGCTCCGCAGCTCGAATCGTGCAACAAATAGTCAGTGTCAGTAGTTCTACTGCCGTCACCTTCATCCCCCCGCCCCAACCCCCTCCTAGCATCTTGCGCCCGCCCGGAAAGAACATGTATATGTGGGGAATAGGCTGGGTCTTTACGACTGAACCCTCGAACGCTGCCCCATCCACGAAGTGGTCGCCCCTCCCCTAGCCTGACTTTCAAAGCTCGATTGTTCCGCAACCGCAACGTAGGTATGTACGTACTAAAGGAAGGTACACTATATATAGCACTACCGCGGAAAAAAAAAGGAAATTTTATGACAGATAGATCTCGTCGATGAGAGCTAAAGTACGTACACAGAAGGGTACTTGTTGGTGCCTCGGACGCAACTACTTTTGTGTGGACTATGTAGATGGTCGGGAAGGCAATTGTCCTTGCCAATGCCATGGTGCATCGCTCACAAAAGCAACGGTCCACGATGGGTGGTGCAGTGGCGGTGGAACCACTTGATGTGGTCGTTGCGATTTTCGTCAAATGGAGCGCTGTGATTGGCTAGCACGTGCCCGAATGGGGGGTCCTGTTATGCGCGCGGACACCCAGGGGGCACCATATGAGGCAGACACAATTCATTCCGTCATCTCATGCCATCTCCGAACCGGCTCTCTCGCTCATTTTTCGAGCTGCCCAACACACCGGCGACACACACACAGCAAAGCGAGAGAGCAAGCGCACGCGCCCACACATCCTGGTGGGCTGCTGCGAGCTGAGGGCAGCACGAAAGAGGTACGTGTCCAGGCGGGACAATAATTGGATGGGTGTTTGTGGTGTTTGGACATTCGTTTGGTGTCGGGCGTTTTCTTGTTTTCTGGAACTTCCAGTTCAAGAAAAAACAGTGCGTGTGCGTGGGCACCTGTGTGCGCGCGTCGGCATCGCCGGGAGAGCAAGCGCAGAGCCAAAACAAGGCAAAGGATTCCCAAGACCCTGACACGCGTCGGATCTGGTGCCCTGCCAAGGTTTTGCAAAGTTGAAGCAGCAAAGGCACATCGCCTCACGTTTGCAGCAGTAGTTGGTTTCTTGCCGCAGCTTGTACCCAACAGCCTGGCTAACGTACGCGTCACCCATCACACAGGGGAAAGATCGAAAGATCAGATAGGGGTGCGCAGACACGCACACGGGCTCGCTCGACCCACCATGGTTGAGCTTCATATTTCCCTGCTGCGCTGGGCGCGTCAAGGCGGGACGCACGCGATGAGCATGTTGGACACAGAGAGCCGGTTGGTTCCCTCTGGTCATTGAGCAACGCCTCTATTTTCTTTGCCGAGCAGCGTTCTCAGAAGCACGTGCCCTTGCTATGCACACACCACGGCTGCTGCTGCTGCTCTCGCCATCGACCCCCACGCACAACGATCGGCAAAAATAGACCACGTATGTATGTAGCGCTACCACATACATGTAACTGTTATCTTGGGCGACGTTCAGCAGTAGATGCTCGTTGCTGCTTCCGCGACAAGCCCTACCTTGGCCTCTCCGCTACAAGTGCAGATCTGGTGTGTACCGATTTCCCCGAGCTCTCGCCGTTTTTTTTGTGTTTTCTTTCGCTCACGGGCACTGCCGCTTTCCCCGTGTGTGGGGTACCTGCGTTGTTCAGATCGCCCCCCCTCTGACCCCCCACTTAACGGTTGGGCAACTCTGTGCGTGCAGGATGGCTGCCACGTGTTGCCGAAGCATGTACGTGTCCTTGAATGCATGTCGATGCCATGTGCCAAACGCGACACGCACATGAGCATTGCTGGCTTGGCTGGGGTGAAAAAAACAAGTGTGGACTAAACTTCCAGAAAACTGATTTCTTCTGAGCTTTCGATGTCCCCACAGCATAATGGTATAGTCTACATTGCAAGAATCCCCCGCTCGTCAACAACAAGGGGGGGGGCAAGTTGGAGAAGTTATCTCTTGCCTCACTGCAGGCCGAGGTTCGCTTGTTTTATGAACGTGTTTTTTTTTGCCAAATAGAGCGGCTTGTTGTCCTATCCGTTCCATTCACACCGTGCTCCCCCCCGCGTTCTTCCATTGCCCCCCCGCCGCGAGGGGGCTATGGTCGCGAGTGAGAGAGAGAGACCAACGGAATTCGTCCATCAAGGTACCGCAGCTTTGGCTTGTTCGTAGATATCAATATCTGGATCACTTCGCGGCGTTCTCGAAGAACAAACGAAGAACGAAACGAGGGCGAAATGTCTCCAGGGGGTGCATCACGGATCCTTCAGTGTATACAAGGCGTCCCTCCGGAGTGGGGTAAAGAGAGCACCGCGGCAAGGGGTGATGCAAGAACATGCAAAACGCTATGAATTCTTTAATAATCTGTCTCAGACTCTTTTCTATGGTAGAGATGAATTCATCGTGTCATATAAAGAAAAATAAAATAAAAAAGCTACCAGCAGAGAAACGACAGCAGTACCTACGTACGGTATCAAAGGATTCGCGGCATATAGGCGTGAGGTCATATAATATTTTCAACTGTTTTCTGGATTTTGTTTGGTTGAAAGCCCGCAGCCGCGCGGATTGATGTGTATTTTTTTTTCATTTGTCTTCACTTCAAATCAGCGCTCACAGCACTAGTGCCGTTTACTCCAACCCGTGGTCACACAGAAGAGCCCCTCTCTACCTCCCCCTCCTGCGGTACTACCTTTGATTTTTGATGCGAGAAGAGTTCCGCACTCTCTTCCCTCTGTGTACACGTACACACGAACTAGCGCTATCCACTAGGTAGGCCAGGAGCGAAAGCGAGAGAAAAACTCACTTCGCAAGAAAATCTCGCTTACGCCGGGATTCGATTCCCCACACGTAGTACACGCTCGCTCCACAGCCGCTCAGATCTGACAGCTGCCGCGCCAACGCTCCGCTGATGTTGTTGGCATGTTGTGATGACACAGGGGTCAACATCAGATAGATCGAAACAGCATGTCATCGCGTAACGCCTACGTTTTTGGTTGAAGCTGACGTCTTCTGCCGGGCTGTTCGACACGACAGCCCGACTCTACCCGACAGCTGACGCGACAGATGGGACAGAATCAGTGCGTGGTCTTCTAACAGCCACAGGAAAATTCTGGAGACCGTGAGGAAGACTTTACAAATCTATAACTAGTCTTATGTAGGCTTAATTAAATAGACAAAAGAAGCCTAATAATAGTAATTTCAGTGATACAGAAAAGTATGTTTTATCATTTGATGCCTCTTGGGGGCTTACGGAGTTTTGGCGTTCGTTTGGGTAGGCATGCGGCAGCAAAACGCTTGCGTCTGTCGACAGAGTTACATACTAATGGGGCGGTTCTCGACTTACAGATTTGTTTGATTGAAAGGTTTCAACGCGCGAGTGAAAGAGCAACAACAGCAGCAACAACCACAACAACAGTTGAGCAAAATTGTTACCGGAATGGGTGCCTTAGACGTTCATGTGAATGCCCCGGCGGCGGCGGCGGGCGGCGACGCAAAATTCAGCGACAAAAATATCAACTCTGTCCACTCTCAAGGAAGGGGAATTCTCACAGTTTTTTGTCCTTTCCGGCCTTTGTTGTTCGCGGCGAGGGGGGGGTGGGGGGGTGTACTCATAGTCGTGCATGCCGTAGTCGTTAGACCATTGACCTCGCATCCCTACAAAGCCGGGACGGAGCACGCCGGGTTCTCACCGGACCAGGGTCTCACATCACCAAGCGGGGGGGATGGGGGTTCTCAATAAGTGTGTACGGCAACGCAGAAGCTAGATAGGTGTGCATCCATTCAGGGATTGCGGAGAACTATGCATACCTATGACTTGTTTCATGACGAAAGTAGCAAGAACGCGCAAGACAGAGAGAGAGAGCGAGAAAGAGAGAGAGAAAAACAGAGCGTATTTCGTTGTCATTCGCTAGTTGGAGCTCCGTGAGCCACGCGCGCTTGTTCGGCGTGCGAAAAATCGCCCGCTCTTGTTGTGTTTGCGCTTCCTCCTGTATTTCTAGACGGTGCGCGCATCTCTCTTTTCTGTCTCTCCCTCCATTACGCGTAGCTGAAGCTAGGGGTGCAGGCACGTACCGTGGAAGTTAGGTCGGGGATAGGGTTAGGGATACGGTCTGCGTACCCCCTCCCTGTTCTACTTCCTCCTAGACTTCCTGCACAGCTCACGCGTCACTCGCCCGTATCCCGATTGGTAACCACTTCGGCTTGGGTTCCCTGTGCGCGTTTTCTAGGAGACCGGGAGGAGACAAGACATTCTTGGAGGCTCGTCATCTGCGGAGGCGGTGGAACTCTTCATGTTGACGAAAAAGCAGAGATGGAGACGGGTACGTGTGGTTCGCGCCATCAGCAACAGCAGCATCAGCAGCAACAGCAGCAACGACAGCACGAGCGGCGGCGGCGGCGGCGGCGGCGGCGGCGGCGGCGGTACCGACGCTTGCCCTGGACGTGATGGCTTCGACTGCTTTCCGGCGCTGGCAAGCAGCAGCGACGGCAGTTGCAAGGACGGCAGCCACCTCATCAACTCCACGCCAAGCGGGTGCAACAGCAACGGCGGGGCCTCCCCGCCGCAGTGTCGCCATGCGCTCGATTCTACGACAGCAGATCCCGCTCGTCCCGAAAGCAGCAGCGGCAGCGCAGCACTACGGCCGCCACTACCACCACCACGGCAGGAGGCAACGACACCTCACGATGCAAGCCCTAGCCCAGTTTCGAACCACGCGGCTGAAGCTCAGGCTGCAGAGCCACCCCCGACCTTCTCCCCGGGCGGAGCGCAAGAACAACGCGGTCACCACCACCACCACCACCACGACAACCTGTTCGCCCCCGAGGTGGGGCCGGCGAGGAGTCACCCTCTCGAGGCGTGGAGGGTCTCGGCCCTCAACCTGGTGAAGTTCCTGTTTTTCTTCGACGCCAGCGGAATCGAAGACGGACGCACGCGCCGCCACGCTGGCGGCTTCGGAGACTGGGGGAGCGGCGGCGGCGGCGGCGGCGGCGGCGGCGGCAGAGACAGATCGGCTACGGAGGGATGCCACTCGTTCGCCGCTGCCCCCGCCGCGGCGCGACCCCGCCGGCCCTCGGAACCCGCGTGTCGCCCACCGTCGCCGCTGCCGATGCCCAAGGCCGTGAGATTCAGCAATCAGATCAGGGTGATTTTGGTGGCATCTCGCCTCGAGCTTTCGTCCGTGAAGACTGACATTTGGTGGGGGGAGAGGGACTACTGCGACTTCAGGTTCGTTTTTTGTGCTCTTTTTGTGTACCCTGTTTTGTCACGACTCATTCAGTCATTGGGTCAAGTGTGTTCGACTCTATGTTGCGTGTGAATGGAACACATCCCCCCTGATGCGTTTATTACGAAATCTGTGAGTTTGCTGCGCCTGCTCTGGTGGCATGCGTCATGCGCCGTGGCAGGTTGGTTGCACCAACGAAGAGAATTCCCATGCATGACATGAACCGAAAACCTAATTGACAAGCCGGCACGAAGGACAGAAACGGAACAATCGGACCTTACAAAGGACGGACGGTAACGCCCCCCGTTCCTCTCTCCCTCCTCTGCCCCCTATTTTCTCGACTTCCCCAGGCGTGCGTACTTTAAAGCAGCGCGTGAGGAAAAGGAGAACGACCGTGAGGTAACGTCCCAGAGTAGGGCTGGGCAAGGAACGCCTGGTCGAGACGAGTTCGACCGACCCGGCTCCTCCCCTGTTGCGACGTCTCCAACGACCGCGACAAGCGCTGGCCACCCGAGCAGTCGCAACGGCTCCGCGGCGGCAGCGCATGATGTTGACGACGACCTGCCGTCGAAACCTTCGTGCGGCAGTAGAGATGGCGGTGGCTACGACAGCGACTACGACGATAGGGGTGGCTGCTCGCGGGCTTCGCAAGCTGTGCTGCCGCGCCCCCCGCCTCCTTCCCCCGAACACCAGACCCGTGAGCCTCACGCGGAGCTCGACGACGCCGGTGTGCGTGTCGGCGTGAAACGTCTCTCGGGGCTGTTGGACGACCAGCGTGTTGCTGCGGCAGGGGAGTGGGAAAGAGAAAAAGACGGAGGCGGCATGACCCCCCCTCATGACGTAGGCGAGCAGGCTGGAGTCTCCGCAGCCATCACTTCGAGCGCGGTGGAGACGGTGGTTGTGGCAGAGTCGACCGCCATAGTTCATGCCGACGTCGCCGTTCCTCAGCAACGAAAACAAGCGGCATCCCCGGAAAGACGTGCGCGGCCGGTGCCGGCGAAAGCCGCCGAGGTCACCGCAGAAGGCATCGGACGGGTAGGTACTTCGCCCGATATCACTTCCGTCGCGCGTGGGTTTCCTTGGCGAGGGGCGGGGCCGCTGGGGGATGCGGCCATGAGGTCCCCGGGGAGCTCTGCCGTGGGGCCGGCGAGGGCGAAGGCGTTGGCCTGCCCCTGCGCTGCCGCCGAGATGCGGCGGGAAATGAGGCGGGAAACGCAGATGCCGATTCTCGAAACGGGGAGGGATCCCCGGATCGATCCGCAGACCGGCGCGAGGGTGTCGCTCCCGTTCCTCGGAAGCGCGCGCATCCGGAGGGTGGCCTCTTTCTAAGGTGGCTGTCAACACTCTCGGTGAGGCTTGGCATGAGCTGAGCTGAGAATTCTCGTGGGCACAATGTTCGCTGTTTGACCACCGTAAGTTAAGCGGTCGAGCTCTCAGTGCTTGATGATGTTTTGAGTGATGATTTTTTTCATGTTCTGTTTTTATTCGTGCTGTTATGCATGTTTGGTATGTGTTACTCTTCACTGCCCTTCAGTGGTTAGGTGGGTGGTTATTCTGCTTACCGAGTGCTTTTTTCACGAGTGGGTCAAGGATTTCAGTGAAAAGGCTGAGGGAAACGTGCTCAGAATGGGTGGGGCCAAGACGACTCTCATTCCTCTTGCCGGTGCCGCGGCTCTTTTAACCCTCGTGAGTACGAGTGTGCAGTAGTGTCGCCGGAATGGCTTAAAGCCTACCGTCCTGAAGAACGGCAGGTGTTTGATAAGGGGGGTCTGAGCCTGATTGCTTGTTTTGTCAAGTTTTCGACATTGGAATCGGGCTACGTTTGTGTTTTCAGCCTTTGATGTTTTATCGTCTGATCTGTGTGTTTACCTTCCTGGTGTCTGTGTTGTCTTTTGATGCGTCGATAGTGTTTTTTCGTGTCGTTTACGTTTCGAGAGAGTGCCGTGTGTGAAATGAGGGGAATCGTCCTCTACAGACGTAGGGGAGATGGGACCCTTTTCTTTAAACGTCACCTACCCAGGTGGGTGTTTTTTTGGTGCTTCGTCTCCTTTTTTGGTGTCGGTAGGCTCTTGTATCGGCGTTTCGCTCTTTCTTCCTCTGTGGTGTGAAGCGGTGGCGCTGTGCGGGGGGGTTGCATTCGTGGAGAGTTTCCCTCGGTAACGGAAAATTGCCGAGAGGGAGAATCGGCCGCCCTGCACACGTTTATCTGCGGCCTTTCATTAGTCGCCTAGAGTCAAATTGTCGGACTCTTCGACTATACATGGATTGTAATTTTTTTGCGGTGTGTGGTACAGCTTGGGTTCTGCCCTAAGGGGGGGCTGAACGACAAGCGGTTCGGAATCCCCGAAGGGTTGACCTACGTTTAGGTGGTTCGTATGTGTTGGGTTTCGAGGTACTATGAGGGAAAAACGAGTAATTAGTGGTGGGATTTTCGTGTGTATCCTGGTGAGAATTTACTGGCATGGTATTCTGTGCTGGACGCGCTTTGTACGGCATTTTTGGGTCTATATGGGCTGCATGCTGTCTGTCACCACGGCCACAAACTGCCGACTGAAATATTTAGCCATGGTATCCTACTAAGTCGTAGCCATTGTCATTTTGTGTTTCCCACCCCACGGGAGGGTATATGGGGGGAAAGGGGGGACTTTTTGTGGCGTTATCTTGTCGGGGGGTTGACAAGTAAAATATGCTGGACACGCATGGATAAGGCCTTTGGTGACCTTGTCAATTTTGGGGCCATGTGCTGTATTCAGAGTCGCGGCAAACGGGGGCTTCTCTGGCAACACCGTGTTCCGTTTGATCGCGGGCATCATGGGGTGTGTGGGTTAATCAGAGTGGCGGCTGACTGGAAGAATCTGACGAGCATCGAAAAGGCAATTGGTCATCTTGTTCGAAAGTTTTGCACTGTACTTAAAGGGCCTCGGGAGCGTGCCTGCGGTCAACGTGTCAAGAGGAGGGCGTTTTGGGGACCACCGGCCCACACTGGCTGGGAACTCTAGACAAACATCGGCAAGGGTCTGCCGTGTTGTCATCATTTTTGCGGGGGCGTTAAAACACAAGCAAGCCCATAGTATGTACCTGCGCGTGTAGCCTTGTTTGTCCAACAACCTGGTGCACAAGATCGATTCGTTGTATGCTTGTGTCATGGGATCGTTGATGATTTATGGAATTCGTTTGTGTTGTAGTTTGACAAGATGCCGGGTAACGGGAGAAGAGCAAACTGGGTGTATTTGGTTTGGTGGATTTGGTCGATGGTATATGGTATGGTGCTGTGTCTCGTGTTGTGCTACGACGCCGCTGCTGTTTCTCGGAAGCCGCGCTCTCATGAACCTGTCAATTGCACGTTGAGCTCTTCTCATCGCGCCTGCCGTAAGCCGAGCTTGCCTATAATTGTCGTGTACGTCCGGTAGGATTCCCACGGTTTGTGTGTATCCTTCTTAGTCTGATCGACGTTCGTGAAGAAAACAAGTAGTGCGAGCTTGCCGTTTTGCGGTGGAGGCGCAGGGTGGCCAGAGGAGGGGAGCACGGGAAAGGTAGGCCAAGCACAAGCACGCGCTTAAGGGAGCTCGTAGTAGGGAGTTCGTATCGCAGGCTTTCGGTTTCTTGTCGGGGGGGCGGGGCAGAGTGCTCGACAGTGCCCCCACGCCATAACTCTAACTCGTACGTTGTGCGATCTCGGACTTGGGCACACCGGCCAGAGCGAATAACATCTGGGGGAGGGGGGGGCAGTGCCGCGTGCACAACTGGCAGGGTTGGACGTTTTTCCAGGTTCAAGGGTGTTGGGGACGTAAGGAACTCTGCCCACGAGCTACGACGGCAGCACTTTCTGGGGGAGGTCATTAACGGGTTTGTAGATTGGATGTCGGTGCCGGGGACGGGTGCCTGCCACAACATCTTTTGGGGCATTCTATGCATGTTTCGGTCTGGTTCTGGATGGGAAACTAGCTGCTGCTGCTGCTGCTGCTGCTGCTTGGTGGAAACAATCCCTTTTTGAGAGGAGATTTGTTATTCTATCTTGTGTGGGATACGGTTGGCAATCGTTGTTGCTTGGTGTAAGTCATCGAATTAAGCCTCGACGTGAGTTTAATGCCACTCCGCTCCAATTTATGTCGATATTCCCCATCAGGATGTTGGGGGCAAATCAGACTTAACGTGTTTTTTGCAGGCGTAGCAGCACCATAAAAATGTGGTAAATAGGTGGAACCCAAGGTGTTTTTCTGTTTCTCAGTACAATTGCGTTGGCGTTTTTTTAGTTGTTGGTGTCATTTATGACTTATGGTATCTACGTAGTTGCACGGGGGGGGGGGGGGGCTGTTGGTGGCATTGTTGTCACGGGCTCGCATGCGTTCAAGGAAAAACTAGTTGTTTGTGGAATTTTTCATCTTCACATCCACTTGCTGCTGTCGCATGGAGTTTCTCAAAGTTTTCGTCGCCATTCGGGTCTGTACAGTAGTAAATTGGTGGGATTGTTTTTCTGATGGGCTGTAAGCAGCGGTTCAGTGTGAACGCGTGATGGGAGATAAAAAAACTCGAAGCTCTAAGAGCATACTTGTAGGAATAACTCGTTTTGCGAAAAAGAAATTGCGTACATAGTAGTCGGTCCCTCACGTATTATTATCTTGATTTTTCTTGTGTGCACCCTTTGTGGGTGAGTCATGACAGACTATGGAAGGCGTCCACATCAGTGGGACCAGTACGGATGTAACGGTGTGTAGCAGTTGACGGAGCAGTTGTTGCATACATACATACATGTGAAGACAAAAACACCCTCAAAATGTGAGCACTTCTTGTCGGTCAACTACCAGCTACCAGCTAGCTGCGGCTGCGACTTCGGCCGCGTAACCTCGGCACGCGGTTGGTTGAATTAACAATGAAGCGTAAGCGTGGAGGGTTTCCGGCGAAGCTGTTTGAAAGTGCCTCCAAACACCACATGCTTTTTACCAACGACGCGGTTCATATCACCACCCGTTCATCAGCCGGTCGGCGTAATACCAAGGCCAAACTGCAACAGAACACCGGCCATCCGACCTCGCCTCGTACACGGCTGGTTAAAGGTATAAGAACCAAAAGAATCGGCCGCGTGACCTGGGTGACCTGGTCAATCGATTGGTTACACCGTCATAGCCGTTGTCATCGCCAGATGCACGCTGGCTCAGGGGCGATGGCTGCTGCTCGGTGGATCGACTCCGGCGGAGAAGGGGGCCGTATTGCATTGTAGACCATGGACCACCCATCATCGACGTTAGGACCACCCATCATCGACGTTTAGAATCAACCATCATCATCGACGTTTAACTGCTGTGTACAGCAGTTCGTATGTGCATAATAATAGATAGATAGGCCAGCTGCAGCAAGGAAGGGTGATAGCCGGACGAAAGTCCTCACGGAAGAAAGAGGTGCGGTGCGATGGCACCGGCAGTAGTATAGCGGTGATATGGGTTCCGTCGTAACACCCACGTCACTCCGCGCGGGCTCACAACAACAACTCGGCACGCGTGTCCGACTCTCTTATCTTGCTTACCGACTGCTTTGACTGCTGCTGCCAGAGGGCAAGGCTCCTGACCGTCGTCATCATTCGCAACAACAGACCGCAGACGAGTTGCATACTCTTTTCCATTCCCAGGTGCAGCGCGGAAACGTCCCGCCGGCAAGCCACACAGAACGTCAACGGTGTGTAAGCTCAGCTGGAGAGTTGATCAGTCGCCGACGTATGTCCACCACCCATTTAGTCTACAGCAGTACTCCGAGTTCGGGTTTTCAGGCACAGATACTACACATCTTGGTAACTACAGCCTGTGTAAACGCAAGCGTACGCAAGCGTACAAGCAAAGTGCTGGAATCAGCGAGTTTCGGAGGTTTGACGGCTGGCTGTGCGTGGCAGTGTGGGCCTTCAGCTTGTCTCTGCTCTATATCTTGCTGTTTGTCTGTTGTCTTTTTATTATGTGGGGGGCCCGGAGACTACATAACCCACATTGCTGCTGGTATGTACCGTTTCAATCCATCCGTTCAGCGGAGCCACCCGGCATCGCTCCGCCAAGCAGACACAGGACAGCCAGCGTTGGCAGTGGGAAACTCAACTGCTGGTGCATCAACCACGCACGATGGTGAAGGTGCTAGTGGCAGGCGATGTTAAAGGGAGCGTGACACAGCTGCTGGCGAAGGTCGCTCAGTACAACAAGTGAGATTTGACAGCGATTTGGTGGTTGTTTGCTCCCGATTATCAACGCCGCCGTTGCCGCCAACCACCAGCTCGGTGAGATGGTGAGGTGCAGTAGAGGTAACAGCAGCAGTATCTAATTCCGAAAGCTGCGTGGTATTCCTGTGTAATTGTATGGGGTGGGTTGCGATCACGAAACGCTTCGTGCACACACGCTTAAAGTAGTATCTTGATCATGTCGCTGTCACCCCCAACCCGGCTCAACAGCTGCGGCGGAATTAGTATGTAGCAGGATTCGCGCATCGGAAACAACCCAACAAACTGCGTTAGTCAACATTGACCCTGGGTCAAAATGCACACAAGCATGGCATACGTGACATGATATGATCAACGCATGGGCTCGTTGATCTGTGCCTTGAGTTGGACAGACGTTTTCCAATGTCTTTTGAATCTCTTTCTCCGGTTTCCAAACTACATTCAGCCCATCTGCCCCCCCCCCCGCGCCCTCTCCCTAACGAAACCTGTGCCGCCGCTCTCCCTCACACCATGAGGGCAGTTGTTATGGAAAGAATTCCCAACTGGGAATCCCGATAATACGCCTTTTACATCCAAACCCCCATGAGGCCGCAGGAGTTCTGCGTACTTCGTTGGAAAAGCTCACAAAAGCGCTTAGGCACTCAGTACTCGCCTCACAAGAGACCCGTTTGCATTCAAACCTTCGAGGCCGCATAGAGCATCGCTGTGAGCCTCTTCGAGCCAAGTATGGGGAGCTGCGGTCCAGTGTGTGTTCACCATGCTTGGTAAAATAGGAATTCCAATTTGGAATTGCTGGACGATCCTGGTGGGAATTCCTCATGAATTCCCAACTGGAATTGGTTGGAATTCCAACTGGAATTGGTTGGAATTCCAAATTGGGAATCGTGAATTTGCTTTCATATCATTGCATACTCTACTCACACTGCACTCTAGCTGCCCAAACTTGGCTCCGAGAAGCTCACAGTAGTGGAGTGTACAGCCTTATCGGTAGATGGCAAACAGGGGTCTGTGAGGCGAGGACGAACTGACAAAGCGCTTTGGTGCTCTCTGCTTGCTGCCCAGTACGCAGACCTCCTACTTTTAGGGGGGGGGTGGAGCATTATCTGCCGATCCCCCGGATTCCCATCTGGGAAAAATTTCCATAACAACTGGCCTGACTACATGCCATCATTTCGTCAGACTTGTTTGGTAAAGTGAACCTTGGCCAGCCTACTTTTTCCGACCTTGCCAAACACACGCAACCACCACTAAAAAATGCTGTGGGGGTTGAAAAGAAAGAAGGGGGAGAAATAAATGATGGTACGGTACAGCAGCCATTGACCCCCGGGGTTGGTAAGCTCTCATCCTACACACCTTCCAACCCATCTCCGGAACACACCACCTGTTTATTTGAATGTACCTTTTTAGGGTAAGTTAACCTGTGACCACGGCAATCGACCGCGTCAAATGTTGGATCAGTACGGACATACGAAGGTACTGGGTAGAGAGAGATCGGAACGGTTTTTAATGTGAAGACAACAACAACAACAACAACAAATCTGCATAACGCATACGAACCATATGGACACACGGAAAGGCCCAAGGGAGTACGCAGAATGCACGGCAGGAACCCTTACGCTGCTCAAGGCGTGCGATTGCTTCGATGCGATGCACGATTTTAGGAAAAACTACTCCAGTATGCTACAACCATGAAATATACCCTTTGGAGATGAAATCACGGTCGAAGGGGGTGTGGATTGAAATCTTTACAGTGAACGGGGGAGAAATCTGCTGGATGCGTGGCCACGTAGTTTTTGGGTCTGTTTAGGCCTATAGAGGTAGGGAGCTTAAGCTCAGGCTCGCGCCCTGCGGCCTCGCAGCGGCCGCTCACAGCCAAGCGGCGGAATTCGGCCTGCTCTCAAATCGACACGATAGCTCAAGAGCGCGGCTGGCGCCGCAGCTGGCGCCGTTCGGCCTCCCTCTTTGCGGAGCCCGCGGGAGGCCATCTCTCCGCCGAGACCCCGCCGCCGCGGGCTCCGGGCGCTGAGCGCCTGCCGAGCTCCCCGCGCCGTCGAAACCGCTCCAAACGATGCGTTCGCACCTGCATCTGCCCCTCTGACCGCTTCGCGCGGGACTGTGAAGAAATGCATTCTGTGATTGGCCGACACGATATTATTTATCCTCTGGTCGGTGTCCTTTCTTTTTTCTCTCCGTGTTTTTGAGAACTTAGAAGTGATGTGCAGGTGACATATACACCCTCATGTGCCTACCTTTCGTGCACTTAGGCGATGGTGCACAAGTGTGCTTCGTGGACTGTCAACCGACCGCTGCTGTAACGCTGTAACGTCTGTGTGTGCGTGTGGGCAAGCGGGCAAACATCTCTTCCGAAAATGAGAAGACGGCAGCTTGCGGCATTCTGACAGAAAAAGTGGCTCTCGGAACGCATCTCTCTCATGTTCTGCTGGATCTCTCTACTGCTGTGGGGGGGGGGACGGTGTGTGTGTGTGTGAGCAAAACAAATGCTGTTGCTGCAGTCTCACGGCTATTGCTATGGTACAAGCCACACTTCCACACAGACAGGTTCACACACACACACATGTTCAACTTTTTCAGTTTCAGAATAGTGTGTAAGGAGCATGATGACGCGCGCTCCTCCCGATTTCGAACCTGTATCTATCGTTCTTTTCTGCTGTACACTCAGAATAGTGTGTAAGGAGCATGATGACGCGCGCTTCTCCCGATTTCGAACCTGCATCTATCGTTCTTTTCTGCTGTACACTCAGAATAGTGTGTAAGGAGTATGATGACGCGCGCTTCTCCCGATTTCGAACCTGCATCTATCGTTCTCTTCTGCTGTACACACCCACCTCAATGAACCACCATCCTACTGCGTTTGAAGCCTGCAACTGCTACCTCACATTTACCGTTTCGTATGCATATCCACTCTCAAACGGAGGACGGGGGGGGGACGGTATCCCCCCGCGTCCGCCGCCCTTGTACGCTGAACTTTACCAGTGGCACCGGCCGGTGCTAAGCACGAAAACATCCCTCGACTTGGCCAACGACAAAAATATCGGGGAGAAGCCTTCCGATATGGAATTTGCGTACACAGAGTAGAACACCAAAAAAAAAATCAATGAAATCGATTTTTGCAGGTCTGGAGCCGGGCCCTTCGACATGGTGTTTGCAGTGGGCCCGCTGACCTCGCCGGACAGCGGGGGCGGAGACGAGGCGGCACTGTCCCCTGTCCTCGCCGGCGAAACGCCTCCCGCGGTACCCGTCTACTTTTTCGAGGCCGGGGGGTCGGAAAGTTTGTCCGCGAAGCTTGAGGAACACCCATGTGAGTTTTTCTTGATTGTTATGTTGTTACGCTTTTTGACTTGATAGGTTTCGAGAATATCCACGACACGGCCCGGACGAACTGCTGTGTTTTTTGCAAGTAGTTTTGTTACAAAGACACGATGCATTTAGTATGCAAAAAGATGTTTGTTTTTTGTTTTTTTACTTGTGGTTTTTGGGAAAGGGGGTTGGAAGACAAGCGAGAATATGAGTCGACACGTCTTGCCGAAGAAGGCAAAGAAGGAACTTCTTGTGCAAAAAAAATCTTCTGCTATTGCTGCTGGGATCCGCCTCGCGGCTGCCGCTCGTGTATGATCTGCTGACTCTTGTTTCCTTCATTCTTAATGCTCCTGTTTTAAAATAGTTAGCGAAATCACCCTCTCTCTCCGTCCCTCCAATCTCCCCCTCCCCTGGCAGCGGTATCGATAGGATAGGCAGGGTGAGTGAAGCATTTTTGAGCCACCTTCGTCAACGTAGGAAACTTCGGCCGTCGGTGATCGGCCCTGTGGAAAAGATGCTCCGTCCTCTCAAGGACGCGTGGTCAATGGTCTAACCGTTAAGGCATGCAAAGCATGAGTGCCCCCCCGCCCCCCCCCCCCA